TTTTCCAAACCTGTCCCATGATACTCAGTGCTCTGGAGCTCCTACTATTCATGGGACACTTCTCACCAGGTGTCTTATTTAGACCCACAAATTGTAAATATCTAACACATTGTATCCATTCTGGGTGCAAGAGCAACTTCAAGCAAACCTAACCCTTCAATCAGCCCCAGTCCTGCTGTGTTACAATTCTCATTAGCAGTTTTTCTATTCATTCTTTTTTTTTATTCATTTACTCACCAAGTATTTATCGAGTGCCTACTATATTTTAGGCACTGGACTGACTGGTGAGTAGTCAGTCAGTATGATCCCTAGCCTCAGAAAGCTTGTGGTTTTGTGGAGGAGATGACATCTTAAAATAAACACACAAGTGAATATTAATTATAATTAAAATATATTCTTTAAAGGAAAAGAACAGAGTGTTATGAGAATGTAATGTGGGTGGTAATAGTGGGGATATATAGTTTAGATGGGGCAGTGGTTAAAGATGGGCTTTCTAGAAAGTGACATTTAAACTGTGCCCCAAAAGTTGAGAAATGAGCACACTGAAGGATCAAAATGACCTGGGGAACCTATAGAGAAGGGCACTGCAGTATAGCGGGCAGCAAGAGTACAGCCCAACGTGAAGTTTGGAAGTTAGGCAGGGGCTACACCCTGCTTGACCTTGTAGACCATATTCCAGTACTGAATGCTCATACCAGACCTGTAACTTGTGATTCTAAAATAGGCTCTCCTCTCCCCTGTTGAACTTTGAAGCTAGAGTCAGATGTCCAAATTCTTCCCTCTGCTTGAGCAGGGATTGGCAAATGTAGACCCAGAGGCTTTCAGAGTCTGCTGGAATCTCAGGTAACCACATACCCCTTTCCCTCATTCATATCTTCTTCCCCATCCTGAACCACACCCAGACTCTCTGCTCAGGACCCAGGTGTAGAAACAAGCTCTCTGGGACTGAGAACATTCAGACACCCAAAGTCCACAGAAAGAAAGGGGACCCAATCAGCTTCGTAATGATGTGGTTCATTAACAGGTGATAACAACCACCATACCCTCTGCTTGCATGAATAAATTATTCTTGCCAGGTTCAGTTATTCCTTGACAGCTGAAGGAAGACATGTCCTGTCAGCATGTTGATATATTTCAAACAGCTTCATCATGGGGGAGGGTAAAGGACAGATAATTGTAGATGCTATGGGATGGTTATGTCAAGTTCATTTTACTGTTCTATTTTTGTACATGTTTGAAAATTTCCATAATAAAATGTTTTAAATGTCAGTCTTTTTACTGTGTTTAGTATTTCCAGATCCCTCTACCAAATATTTCTCTGTGTTATGGGACAAAACCCCAGTCATGTCTCAGTGGAAGCTGCTCTGGCAACAGGTATAAAAATCTATTGTTTGGGGCGCCTGGGGACTCAGTCGGTTAAGCGTCCGCCTTCAAGCTCAGGTCGTGATCCCGAGGTCCTGGGATCCAGCCCCACATTGGGCTCCCTGCTCAGCGGAGAGTCTGCTTCTCCTTCTCCCTTTGCCCCCCTCCCCACTTGTGCTCGCTCTCTCTCTCTTAAATAAATACATAAAATCCTTTAAAAAAATCTTTAAAAATCTATTGTTTGGTGGAGTCAGAAGAAAATAAAGACTCGCACTTTGAAGTATGAGAAGAGAAACAGATATCTACCTTGAGTTCACACTACTTCAGTTCAATAAACAGTTTCAGAATTAGACCCATTGAGACCAGGAAGGTGAGTACCAGATAGACATGACTATCTTCATCATGACTGGACAATGGTGCAGGCACTTAAGGAAGAATTCAACTCCTGACTGAGAAAACATGATTCTGGTAATGCAGAAGATAGAACTCTCTTTTGGGACAAAGTATGCTTCCCAACCTTCTCTCTGCTACACATGCATAAATGCTCCCAAAGAGAGGCCTGGATCAATAAACAGCAAATTAAATCACTTAGCCTGGAAGTAGTGGTCTTGATAGGACCAGACTCTTGGGAAAATTCTTGAAAATCTCCGTTCTAGAATCTTTCCATCTACACAAATTGGGAGAGTGAATCATAATCCAAAGGATTTTATCTTCCCAAAGGAGGGCCAGTTTCCAAACGGCTTTTTGAACCCACATAAAAAGAAAACCCAACTAGGCACAAAGGGAAGGTGCCCCAGTTTTCACATCTATCAAATGGTGATAATATAGGTTGTTATGGGAATTAAATAAGACAATGCATAGGAAGTGCTTAGCACAGTAGCTAATAGAAGTATTCAATGAATGGGTTTGGCTTTTGTAAATTATTTGATTGTTTACCACATCTTTGTTTATTTTTTTTAAAGATTTTATTTATTCATTTGACAGAGAGAGAGAGAGAGACAAGCAGGGGGAGAAGCAGAGGGAGAGGGAGAAGCAGACTCTCCGTGGAGCAGGGAGCCTGCTTACGGGGCTCGATCCCAGGACCTGGAGATCATGACCTGAGCCAAAGGCAGATGCTTAACCATCTGAGCCACCCAGGCGCCCCTGTTTACCACATCTTTGTATGCTAGCTACATTTTAGCATAATTCAGACAAGCCCACTCACCATTCAATCCAAACCCCCTGTACAGGGAAAAATGTTTTTCCAAACACAAATATAAACTCACTTTATTATAATGCTTTTGAAATAAGAAAATATTAGCATAAATATCTGATCTATTAGTAAAATCACAATCTGGAAAAAAGGTCCAATGGTACAATGTATCTATAGAAATTAGTTTCTTTGCTTTTCTAGTCAGTCAATTTCAAAGTAGAACTTGCAGTGATATAAAGTAATATTTAAGATGTAGAATCATCACACCACAATTTTGTTCTTGATTCCGCAAAATGCATCATTCTTACAAATTCCTCCCTTTTGAAATAAACAGTAGAGGCACATGGAACCTTAACAGTAAAATTTTGTGAAGTTGACAATGGTAGACTCTAAGATCTACATTTTCCCTGCTGGTTTTCTAAAAATGCTGCTCCAAAAGGGAAAGTAAAATATAAATTTATGCATGTATAAAGTAAAAATATCCAAAATATTTTATATAAATTTTTAAAAGCTCTGGTTTCTATACCCATTTTTCATGAATACTTATAATACTTTAGAGAAATTATATTGCAGAGCTGGATAAACAAAATTTTACTGTGATCACTAGGAAAAATATGTATAAGAATATTTATAACTATATTTCAAAAAATCTTTAGGCTTGAAGATTCAAGAAATGACATTCAGTGTAAAGTGCTGATCCAAACACACATAAGTTCATTTTTAACTTTGACTTTTTACAGATATTTTCCAAATATTGTTTTAAAATGGCAAGTGACAAAGTAAATGGGTTTAAACTAAAGTCTTTAAGTAAAAAGATAACAGGCAACATTCAAATTTATCTTTGGAAAAGAACTATGAAATACTACAGCTTTCTTCCATTAAATCAAGTCAGTATTTCATTCTGAAAGCAATGTATTAATATGTAACTTTATGAAATAATCCAGTTATAGGCAAAGACTCCTGCTACACATGCTTAGTCAACCCAGGATCTTCTTCAGTGCTGGTGTTTGTGAGGCCTCTTGAGGGGACAGTGGGTTAAATGGCTTTCGGGGTCAAAATATTTCTTTGAGGTTCAGATTTAAAATTTTTCAATAGTTAAAATCCCCTTTCAATTGTGTAACTTGCTCCTAATTTATAGGTATGACATGATTTGGGGATGCAGTGCTATCATTCTGCAGATTTAAAGTGGTTGGAGACAAGCTGGGGGATCTGGCCTTTCTCTTCTCTCCCGTGTTCTCCCTCTGGAAAGTCAGAAATTATTCCAAACTATAGGAAAACAGAGTACTTGAGAATGAGTAAACTATTCTAATCCAATGAGTGTAGGTATGTGAGAGAGTTCTATGAACTGTAAAGTATCACACCATTAGCCTTCTTCTCTCTCCCCTGACCAAAGCTCTAATTAATGAGAGTGCTCTGATGCTGAGCTGAACCCCTGAAGCCTTCTCACTCAGCTGAAGAGGCCAATCAAGTTTCTAATGATTATCCATAAAGAGATCAAGAGCAGTGGACATTGGAACAAGAATTAACACAGGGAGAAAGGAATCTCACCTTTAGCATATTTTTCAGGCTAACCTCCCAAGTTCTGTTTTGGGTAATGATGAACCTAAATGTCTGATCTGAAAAGAAAACTCCCATCAGAGACCTGCTGATTCAAGAATTCAATTCCTGCCCAGTTGGAATACTGCCAACATTTTTCAGTTCTTAGCAGGAATGTGTATACAATTCAAATAAAAGCTTTGTTTCAAATGAAAAAAAAAGAGAGAAGGAAGTGTTGGTATTAACATTTCAGGTAAGATTTAGAAATCACACTTGTGACTTGGTGTATTCTGTTAAATTCAGTATTATATGTGATAGGAACAGCGGTGAGTGCCTGATCAGAGGGGAGGGGCTCAGCCTTAGGAAGAAAGCTTTCAGTGGAGTTGGAAGGTGAAGATGCCAAACCTTTCTCATAGTAGAGTTTCTCATTAGGGTTTTACATGGAGTTGTGGAAGAATGCTTTAGATTTCTCAAAAGGCAGTGATTAATACAGACCCCTTTCTCCAGAAAAGCATAAAGTAAGCAAATCTACATGTCACTGTTTCTGTTTACGTTCTGAGGGAGTAAGATGGAGGGGCAGAGAGTCTGCAACAAAGCTTCCCAATGTCATCTGCTTTGGTCCTGCTTTGAAATTACCCCTAATTAACAGCTAATTATAGCAGCAGTGTCCTAACATTCTCCATAGAGCAATGCTCATTGCCTGAAAGATAGTTCAATTGTGAGTACAAATCCCAAATGAGGAAACTCTGAGCCAGTCCTGCTTGCTTTGTTGCTATTTTCCCCTATAAACATGTTAATAAAACAATAATAATAATTTCCTTGGAAGGCAATGCTTCTGCCAAAATTAAACGCTTCCGAGACACGTACAATCCCGTGGTCCCCCCTCTCTCAGCCCTGAAGATTCCCAGGCTCAAGCCACTGGCCGTGTGGGGCTGTAACGAGGCACTGTTAGAGCCACAGATTGCTCATCTTTGTGATCTAACTCTCTCGCTACAGAGTAAGCCACCGATCCGTTGGTCCATAGCTGCAGCTTAGGGTCAGATTCTTTGGCAAGGAACCACAGCTGGGTTTTTCTCATCTTCTTTACAAGTCTAGCGAAGCCAAGCAACACAGAGCTCAGTATCATTGAAAACCCACAGAGAAGAAATGCCGCAGTATAGCTCCCAGTCATGTCAACAAGCCGTCCTGTAACAAGCAACAGCAAAATTACATTGTTGAGTGGAAAATCCAATTACGTACCGACTCCCAAATCTAATAATTTCTAAGGCTAATAAACAATAGATTGCCAGTGCCACCACTGTAATTTTGACACAAAAAGCAGATCTAAAAATGTTGTGCAGCAACTGAAAAACGCATTCTGTTTCCTAGGAAAACTCCTAAAATGGATTGTTGTTCTGTAAAGTACTTGGAAAAGTGTCCCATTCTTAGTAATCACACAACCAATATTATTATCAATACCAGCAAATGTGGAAGAAAAGATAAAAATAGTGTCTTCCAAAGTACTGATGTTGGGATCATTTATGTCTGCTGTCAAGAGAGTATAATTGTCCTGAATGTTAGCAGTATTCCCAGTACCCATGTACTGTCTATCTGGGGTAATATAACATGCTTCTGGATAAAGCAGAATTCAAATTTTCAGTTGGAACCAGTCTCTGCACCTGCTGCAGTTTGAAAATCAGAACCTCGGGCCATTGTAGAAGTTGCCAATGTAAAACTTCACTAGGTATCATTTTGCAATCATGGCCTTTCCCCCCTTTATTTCTTCTTGCAACAAATTAATCTCAATAACTATTCCAGCTCTAAATTTTGAGGAGAACCAGGGCATATGATATGCAAAACATAGGCCACAATGATCAGAAAATCAATGGGGTCAAATTAGACCTTGGCAGGCAATTATGTTGGGATTAAAAAGTTTTTTAAAAACTCCTCTAAATTGGGGTGCCTGGGTGGCTCAGTTGGTTGAGCATCCGACTCTTGGTTTCGGCTTAGGTCACAATCTCAGGGTCATGAGATCAAGCCCCACATCAGGCTCTGCACTCAGTGAGGAGTCTGCTTGAAGATTCTGTCCCCTTATCCCTCCCCCTGCTTTCTCTCTCTCTCTCTCAAATGAATAAAATAAATCCTTTAAAAAAATTCCTCTAAACTTAAATCCACTGGAAAAGTATATGATTTTTCCTTTCATCCACTTCAATTCGTTAGTCAAAAATAGTATGGAGAAATTGTTATAAGCCCCACAAAGTTTCCTGCAATCCAAACTATTCTGAAATATTTTAGCTATTGTGTGACTTACTTATGCATTTCTGTAGCACCAAACAGAAGAGACTGAATAGAGAGTTGTCATTTTAAAGGTAATTAAATAAGAGAAGTATTACGGTAAGAACCTCACACCCTAATCCTCCAATGCCTGGCAACAGGTACAATGTCTGATTTGCCAAAGTAAGGCCATGGATTGAAAAAAAGATCCAGGAATCCCAATTTCATTGATGCACTATGACTTTTTAACAGAATTAGAGAATTACACTACTCCTAAAGGTTGGTAAACACAAAAATTGGCTATTGAGGAAGAATGTGGGGACGTTTTGGGGGCAGTTTCCCAAAATGAAGCACTAAACATGTAGTCCTATATTACCGAATTTAAACTGACCAGGATTTTTTATCCACAACCACAAAGCAACCACAGTTTCCCCTAGTTTGCTGCTTTAGCAGTCACTAGAATTCTAAACTGTTTATTTACAACATCAGCTAAAGAAGAAATCCTGCCTTCTTCAAAAATTCCCTTCCTTTCTTCTAAGCAAATGTTTGGCTCATTTCTTTTTTTCCTATCTTCAGGGACCTTCACTCTCTTGGTTTTAGTTTAGGCAGGTAATAATCAGAACCAATTATTCTCAGGGCACCTGGGTGGCTCAGTCAGTTAAGGGGCTGCCTTTGGCTCAGGTCATGATCCAGGAGTCCTAGGATCAAGCCCTGCATCGGGTTCCCTGCTCAGTGGGGAGTCTGCTTCTCCCTCTGCCCTTCACCCTGCTCTTGGGCTTGTGCACTCTCTCTCAAATAAATAAATGAAATCTTAAACAAAAAAAGAACAAATTATTCTCAATCTTTAGTGTGCATGAGCATCACAAGAAGGCTGGTTCAGAATGTACATTCCTGGAAAGATTCAGATCACAAGGGAAGATCAAGGAATCTGCATTTTGTAACAAGGGCCCCAGGGGGTTTTGACACAGGGAGTCCCAGGACCTCCATTTTGAGAGACACTGGTCTAGACCACATACTCTAAGAAGGAGGGAGGGACTCTGACCTGTTTGCTGCTATAGTAGCACCAAAAGTAATGTTGATGCACACAAACAATAAATGGTTGTTAAATTACTTGTTTAATCACGCTTTCAATTTCTATAGCATTTGACAGTTTACCAAACATTCTAGATGCTTTATCTGATGATCCCCAAATCTTTAAATCCAAATCTGGCCTCACTCTAAAGCTCAGATTTCATCCTTAAACAGCTCTGTTGGACATTTTATTAGGTATTTCAGATATCTGAACATATCTAAACTTTTAATTCATTATTTTTTCTGGCAAAGGCACTTTTTCCAACTTCCATATTTCTTCCAACCATGCCATTATTTTCTAGGTTATCTTTGCATTTTCCCCTCCTTCACCCCCACATGCTAAATTCAGTTGATATTTTTTCCAAAACTTCCTCTTTGCCCCCAGAGCTCATTTCCATTTTGCTGAAGCGGCCCTAGTTCAGGACTTTATCAGTTTGCTCCTGAACTATTAGAATGGAATCCTAACTGTTTCTCCCCTAAAGTACCAGATCAATTGCTAGGTCCCATTTTCTAAGATATACTCTTTGCCATATTACCCCTTTGCACAAAAACTATAATACTATCCATAGTCTCTGAAGAATATAGGGCCCGTTTGCCTCCTTCGCCTGGCACTCAAGACACTGACTATGACACATTCGCTTACCATTTCAGCCTCCCTACCCACTATCCCCAAGTGGAATCCTGTACTCCCTCTAGACTTCCCTCTGCGTGTGCCTGACTTATTTATAAGTTTTGAACAGCTGCTCCATTCCATTGCTCTCATCATTAGTGTGGAATGGAATCAGGACCCTAATTTCGGATTTTTTCTTGCCAAGCAGGCTAAGGTTCCCATTGGCTGGAAGAAAATGATAAAACCAGGATATAAGTAAGACCATGATTTTTTGATGGCTCTTGAATCCCTTTCTCTTTCACTCTTCCCAACTTAACTTCCAATCCTCATTGTCTATGTGTGAGTTCACTGTTTTCACATCAGTATGAAAAACAGAAGCGGTGATTGGGGGATCTCTCTGGAAACCTACCTGCGATGGGTGGGCTCACCAGGTATGGCACTGCATGAAGGAAGTATACCACACCGAGCGCTGAAGACAAAGAAGTGGTCCCCACTATTTCTGCAGTCACTACGGGGATCAGAGTCACATAGGCACCATCGAAGTAGCCAAAGGTACAAGAGAAAGGCACGAGCAAGGGAAGACTTTGAAGCATTGGGAGGCAGAGATAGCAGAGCCCATCTAGTCCCACGGCAAAGAGGTAGCAGACATACCGGTAATTCTTCAGGCACCTGTGGATTTGAAGATCAAGAATGAGTGCAGTATGCGCGGGTTCTATCAAAGAGCTTTAGAACCATGGCCACAATAAGCAATAAGCATTGTTGTTACTTATAGAGGCTTCCCATGGTGCATTATCTATGTTGTCTGCCTATCTTTCTTCTGGTATATGAAAACACAAGAATTCATCTTCCCAGGAAACACAGTGTGGCAGAAAATAATATATGCTCTGAAGTTAGAAAGATGGAAGTTTGAATCTAGCTCTATCACCTACTAACTGCTTACCTCTAATCTCAATTTCTTTAGCTATAAAATGGGAATGTTACCTATCTTGTAGGGTTACCCTAAGGATAGTTATAAAATAACATGTACAGTATCAGGAGACTAACTAATTTTCTAGCAGTCTATTGGATGCTTTCAGATAGGTCATCCACTGGTATCTGGTACATCATATATGCTCAAAACCCCAAGGTAGAATATGAAGACATTAAAATGATTTGCCAGAGATTATGAAGGTCTTATACTAGGACTAAGTCTTATTTTGAGCCCTCCCTGGTGGTACTTCCATTCCACTTTCCCTCTATAGCTCCAAACTCATCATTGATAGCAAATGGCACTGATACCATCATTATTTCAAAGACTCGGTATAATATCAGCACCAGCAGTTTATGCTTTACAAACAGTTTTCAACCTACCATCTCCTTTGAGTCTCACAAAATGCTAAGAGGTTAATAGAAAAATATGGCACTGGCCTGTTTTGCAGATGAAGACCCTTAAGGATCTGAGGGTTAGTGATTTTCCCTAGGTCACAGGGATAAGAAGAGGCCGAGTCAGCACAAGTACTTAGGTCTTGTATATCTCCGACTAGAGATGCCTCTATCAAACCTACACTGGGCTACTTCTTGTTGAGTTGATTGTCAAGAAAGATACTCCTGCTCTCCGCTCTTTTCCTTAACCATTGCAGTTTTGGAATTAATTTTAAATATTCATAGCACTGGAGAATGGCAGTGGAACCCTGATTAATTCCCAAAGACAAAATATGAAGAAGCCACAGGATGATTGCTCTCCCAGGTCATAGCTCAAGTGTGAAGAGTCCATTTAGGAGAAGATGAGTACCTTGCTCTCTTCAATGCTAACAATAAGCATTAGCTGAAGGAGCTATTTGGTAGATTTCTGATAACTGTAATTTCTAAGCCTAAAATTATAATGAAAGTATTTGCTATTTGTTTTGTCAAACACAAATATGTGCCTACAGATAATGTACTATTACTGCCCCTGATCTTCCTGCCTGGACTGAATTCTGCTCCTCTCTCCATTGCCAGCCAGTCTCTGCGGTCATTAAAAAATAACTAAAACCACAACACCCAGCCTGAGCACTGACTTGACTTGGGGTGGAATTAAATCTGTCCCCAGAACTTGTAGTTACCACAGGTTTCTGCAACTTAGACCTACCCACCATCCTAAACCATCTAGAACAGAGGTCGGCAAACTCTGGCCAAATCCAGCCCACCACCTGTTTTTTGCACTACCTATGAACTAAGAATGGTTTTCTATTTTTGAGTGGTTGGAAAAAAAATCAAAAGAACCAGATTATTTTGATATGTAAAAGTTATATGAGAAATTAAAATTTCAGTATCCATAAGTAAAGTCCTACCTGCACATAACCACTCGCATTGGTCTGCATATTGTCTACAGCTGGTTTGTGCCACAACAGTAGAGTTGAATGAGAGTGATCACATGACCCACAGAGCCAAAAATGTTAACTATCTATCCCTTTTACAGAAAAAGTTTGCCAACCTCTGACTAGAAGAACCAGCAAGGGAGTTGCTTTCAGATACTGAAAACTTGTTAACATCACTCCGAAGTAGGTTTTCTACAGGGTTAAGGGGATGAGGGGGAGTCAAAGCTCAGAGCTCCCTGGTGAGGGAACCAGCTGGGATCTCAACGGACTTTACCTTCTGTCAGTTAGCCATCCAAATGTGATATTGCCAATAATGTCAATCACCCCAAGTATGGACATAAGGAAAGCAGCTTGCTGGTGGCTCACTCCGACACTCAGAGCGTAAGGTACCAAGTACACAAAGAGGGGACTGCAGCCATAAGCCATAAAGAGAACAGAGATGGCTAACACCACAAAGTCTGACATCAGTAAAAAGCTGTATTCCTGCTGCAAAGAGCAACAGAGGCAGGTGTGCACCCATTTTTTAGTCAAAGTGGAACAGGGAGACACTCGCTTAAAGTCTTGTTTCTGAGTTCTACTGAACTCTGGAGTTGTCTGGTCCTCTTTCAGAGTAATAGGCCGCATCAAGGCACCGCAAACACAGAGATTCAGAACGAAGCCCCCAAGGATGAGTAAGGCTCCCCGCCAGGAAAACTGTTCAATAAGGAGCTGAACCACAGGAGCCAGAATGAAGGTGCCAATGCCGCTTCCGGACATGGCGATCCCATAAGCCAGGGCTTTCCGTCTGCTGAAATACTTGCCGACCATTGCAATCGCTGGAGAGTAACACAGTGCAAACCCAAGACCTGGAGGACAGAGAGAAGGCTATGAGTACTGGTACTCTGTGAACAGCCGGTGAAAGAAAACATCTCAGTTATTTGGATGAAGGAGAATCTGGCCGTCTGTCAAACCCTTTTAAAACTATTTTCTACCCCAAGCTGAAGATGAGTCTCCCCCAACCAGTCATCCACAGTTGGGAAAATATAGCATATATATGACTTTCTTCTTGGGAAGAAACCCTTGAAAAATAGGACTTCTTACAATGAAATGAAGAACTTAAAAATTATTACACAAACTGAATTTGAATTAGCTAGAAAATCAGGATACTGCTGACCTAAGAAACTTACTCTCCCCACCAACAGCTCTTTTTATCTTAAATTATCCAGAGAATTACCTCAACTCTTCACTGCCTATGAAAACACAACTCTGATCATCTGGACCACTCTGGAATTTGGGTTTAAATAGCATATATGGCCCCATTAAAGTTCCAGGGTAATTTCACATAATTGGGAAACTTCGTGCCAACTTTATATATGAACATAGCATACACACAAACTAACCTGGAAACATGCCTTAAAGTCAGCAGAAAGCCTCTTAAAGATTTTCAGCTTCTATTTAAGTCAAGAAAATCTAAAGGGCGTAAAACCTGGGATTCATGGCATCGAAAGGGAAAAACAGAACCACCGTCAGCTCCTGTTTCCATCTGTACTGCAGGGTGACCCATGATCCTGATTTGCCTGGACTGATAAGTTTCCCAGATGAGAGACTTTCAGTGCTAAGACCAGGGCACTCCTTGGTAAACTGGGATGACTGGACACCCTAGCATTTGGACCCTTTGGGTTACATGGGACAGATACCTTTTCTTTGCTAGCGGAGTCAGATTCATAAAATCACTACGAGATTATGTTCTTTATTGACCAGATCATGCTACCCCTATGGCACGGTGCCCAGACTGCAGGTTAGCACTACTCCACATCCCTATGAGTGATGGGGCAAATCGCCACTCCATTGCCACCAACCGATCCCACCTTGATGCTAAGAAGTCCCCTTAGGGTGTGATTTATGGAATGCACATAGATTACTTCTCTTCCCACAGGGTTCATTATAATTCTCTAAAGTACACTTCCATAACGTTGAGAGAGAATGTACAACATAAGAATATTCACAATAAGGGGCTGTCTTTTTAAAATTATAAACCCCCATTTATTGGACAGTGATCATCACTATAAAGCAGGGGCAACTCAGGTTGACCACAGATAGTATTTTTATGTATTGGCAAAGACGTTGGGAGAATGATCACGGCTGAAAATGTATGTTGCCTTGGCTAATATCTCATTGCTTCTGAGTACAGAATCTTAGCCATACACAGCTGCCAGAGGGAAAGCTAGCAGTTACTACTATCCTGTGGCCGAATTCAAGCGGTGATACATTTTTATTACAGCAGTATAACCAACTGTATTTCCAGCTCCTTTAACTGCTAGGTAGGTAGGCATAAGCTAGGTCAGCTAAATGATGCATCTAATGAGGTGAGTATTTTATGGATTATGATTCTGTTGATGTGCTTGACAAAACCTGAATGGGGTGGGGTGAGACAAGGGGTACAAAGTGCCCTTACCTGTAAGAACTCCCAGAGTGAGGTAGAGATGCTTCAGACTGGTGGCAAATGAGCCCAGGATGAGACCAGTAGATGCAAGCAAGCCACCCAGCATGATTCCCACTTGACAGGATAAGTGGTTACTGACAACACTCCCAAGCGGAGCTTCAAAAGCAATAATAAATAGGTTCAACAGAAACACCTTGAGGGCACTGTGAAAAAAACTGTGCTGTTGCATTGACAGAGCTGAGAAGGAAGCTTGATTTACAGCATCAAGCCCGTCCTGCTCACTCTACGGATTTGGAAACCGAGGAGAGAGGAAATGACTTGTCTGCGGTCACACAGAGAACAGGTAGCAAAGCTGGAATTAGGATAGAGTCTGCTGACTTGCATTTCGCTGCCCCTTCCGCTTCTCCATTCTATTACAGTCATAATCCCAGGGCTCTGGGGTGCTTTTTAAACAGTGAATCAGCTCCTTATTTAAATTACTTATCACTTGCATTGGGATGTGCCTTGTATGTTTTATATGGTATTGATCATGTACCGTTAGCAATAATTATGACAGCTGGTGGGGAAGGAAAGTGAGCAACCCTGTGTGGCCAGCAGCGTTATGCAGGGAAGGCCAGGGAAAGAGACCACAGACAAATTTCACAATCTGGTACTGGTTTCAGACTTTAGAAAACCCTGGGGATGAGAAATCAAAACAAATGCTTCACGTCCATGGTGATATTTTGGTTGGCCTCACTCTGCTTGTGGTTTAACGATGTGTCAGAACTGTGCCGACTGCCAGGCTTATAGAATATTAAGTAAAGCTGGGACAGACTGAGGAGAAAATTGAAGTTCAGGGGAATACGACATGTCCGAGATCACCAAGAAGTACCGCTTGGCGTACCTGACACCAAGTGCAGGGTTATTTCACCCTCTTACTCTGTCTGCTTGGGCCTCCCAGACTGATGGCAGGGGAGGTGGGTGGGGAAAGTATGTGAATTCTTTCTGTGGGACATGCTGATACCAGTACTCCTAGTAACAAGATCAGAAGAGCAAGTTCTCTGGGTATCTGTGGAGTATAATTTTGCATTGATCAGGTTGAAACTGGGGCCTGACTCAAATGTACGTGATGGAACCAGTCATCAGCCTGATGTCTCCTGTCTAGTTAACACAGTGGCTGCCTGTATATATAACCTCTGGAAAACAGGAAGGAGCGAACCTCCTGAGAATATATATAATTCTATCGGAAAGTAAAAAATTTAGGCCAAACTCAATGAAAAATGTTTACTTCTCTGTTTATCAGAGGGCAAAGTGCCCCCAGTGAATGTCCTCTATATGACTCTGCAGGCTTTTGTCTATCTCCTGAACTCAACTAATGTTGCCAGGTGAGCAAGTGGGTACAGGATAATTGGATACAACAGGCCTGACTCCTCACATGGCCTCAAGTCCTTGAATTTAAAAATGCTACATCTAACATGACCCTGCTTTATCACACAGTCACTGTGATCATGTTGGTCACCGAAGGGCATTTATTCCTCTTCTGGGGATTATAAATATTCTCCAAAAGATAACAGTGAGGGAAATGAGTCACCTGTGTCCTCTGAAAAAGATAAACATGGCTCGCCCACTTGGCATGTTCACACAAAGGCTGTGACTAATAATGTGACCCTGAAAACAAAGTGACTGTCTAACTGATTAAAAAAGAAAAAGACTAGAAAACACAAAGATATTATTTTTTGATCCCTTAAGACCTTCCAGTGTTATCAGTAGCCAGAGTCAACTTAGCCTTCTCATGAAACCTGCTTTTAGTCCTAGACTTGCTCTCAAATTCCTCCCAACAAAGGAAATACATTTCAGTGCAATTCAACTGATTCCTGAGTATGTACATTTTTTCTAAAAATAAATATGAATCAGTTGATTTATTTATGAGTTATTGAATAATATAGTATTTCCCTTTTGCCACCAAGACATGGCCTGAAGAGATAACAGTGTTTCTTTTAATACTAAGGACTCATCTAAATGAAATGATTAAATGGGCCTAGACTGCAAATAGATCATTTCAACTTGATCCCAATCTCAGAAACTCTCTAAGTTATTAATATAATAACTTTGGTTTAAAATGTTCAAAAAGAAAAATCTCAAGGTTAGTTTTCCTCTACTATATAGGGGGATTGAGAGATTCCATGAGTTTTGAGACTACTCTATACACCCTCTTTGTACCCTTGGGGTTTCTTGAATGAAATTATAGCCATGGTGAGTGCGCTTCTCTCAGGACTGCACCATCCTACCTCCCCTCATACTTTTTGAAGAATGAAGATTTATGCATGAAAAATGAAATCCATGAGCCAAATTTTGAATGTTTGGGAAGTGAACAGAATGAAAACAAGCCTTGAGATGTGATGCACATATTGTTGGCACTCGTTTAAGGAGACTGCATAGAAATGGCTCACAGTGCTAGCCAATGACTGTTCACATGACTGGAGAATGAGGGGACCATAGCATTTAGAAGAGGGAAGCCAAGCATATACTGTATGGTTAACTGCTTCCCAAATCAGGAGGAGTCCTGTGATGCCCAACACCCTATCTCATTATGGGAGAATCAAATAATATGTGTCTTTTTGGGAGTATTAACTACCTGTTCCATCTGCCATCAGCCAAGACCATTAATTCCAAGAGCATGTCTGGTTGGGTTTGGCTAAAAGTAGGATCGGTCTTTTCTTTTTATATAGTCTTAGCCAATTTTTATACTTGATCTTAGCCAAAAGGCCGAGAAGCAATAGTCTTAGCCAATTTTTAGCAAAGCCTTCCTACTCAGAAAAAAGTTGGTGAGCAAAAGCAGTGGAAGGTCATTGTCATGTACAGTTCAAGAGTAACCAGTCTATCCCTGGTAAGTGATACTCACCACAGAGCATGGTCACACAATCTACAATGGAATGGATCCAAGCCGTTTGTGCATAATCCTGAGTGAAGTATGTCTGGAACTCCACAAAAAAAATTGAAATACATCTGAAAAATACAATGCAAGCATTTTATACAAAAAAAAAAAAAAAATGAACGAACATGGATCTAAACCACAGCTTCAAATTCCGGGTCAGCTGTTTGAATCTCCGTAGGCTTTAACTGGTTTTCAGTGGTACATTGTCAGACCATAGTAAGTGGGAAGTCAGAAGCTGTTGGGCCATCTAAAGGATAAAACCAATGTTCATGCACTGGAAGGGCTTCTGAAGCCAAGTGGATATGAGGATCACTGCTGTAGGAAAGGTTTTTTGGAAATGATGGCAGGTCAAAAACATGGGTTCTCATTTATCTTAATATTTTACTAACAGCTGTAACTTCTAAGAGGTTGTTATACAAGTTAAAATTTGACAATTAAGAGTTATACATCACCCAGCAATTTCAGTTCTAGGTTTTAACAAAAGGTAATAATCAAATGATGATAATAATAGCAATAATAGACACACATAAAAGGATGTATGCTGGAGAACTATTTGTAATAGCCAAATATCCTAACGAACCTATTTGCCCATCAATAAGGGACTGGCTAAATAAATCTGACTTATCAATAAAATGAAATATTTTAAGTGTTAGACAGGATGATTTGATATGTATTTATTGATTTGAGAATAAATTCATAATACAATGTTAAGTAAAAAAGTAAGTTACAAAGTAGTTTATATAATAAGGCTTATTTTGATTAAAAAAACATAGTTCATATAAATAGAAAAAGGCCAAAGCATATAAACCAAAAGTACTCTGTCATTATATGTGAATGGTGAGATTATAAATGATCACTCTAGAGAGAGAGAGAGACAGACATATAGAGACAGAGAAACTTTATGTGGAAAAATTGTTAATTTCTTAGGGAAAAAAGACATAAGCAATTCAGGAGCGAGAGTTTGTACCACTATACAACTTGAAATGAATGTCATACAGATCAGCAAGTTTCCTAACTCAGGGCAGGAGGTTTCAGTACTTGGTGACAGCAAGGGTGAATCAGGCCTTGATGGGGATGAGATAGGAGATCATCAGTCTCTTTGGGGAGGACCACAGTCTAACTCATCATGCTTCAGCAGCCCACGGTAACCTGTTATTTCACTCTTCCTCCCCTCTCCAGTTGCTGCTGGATATGAAGGTGGGTGATGGAGAAAAAGAAGAAGGAAGAGAATCAGGCATAACCAGGACAACTGTGTTAGGCAGGTCCAGCTTTACCAGTGTGCATCCTCTGCATTTGCACAGAATCTGGTACTTAGAAGTATAGAATTTCAGCTGTCGTGGTCTTAAAATTCCTAACAATTTTATCTTTGAATTTGTGTTTTGTAAGCAAAGTCCAAAGGAACAATGGGGCATGCACACGACCAGAAGAGATACACACACAATGTGTGTTTGCGATTCTTTGCCTTTCCATTGACACATGTAGTATTAGAGACACAAACTCTGGTAGACTCACAATGTGTGGGAGTTTGGTGAGATTCAGTGAGCACAGGGAAAGTTACATCTGTAACGGAGTCAGTGTGGGGGTAGAGAGGCCATGCTTTTTTCAAACCAAAACTTGCTTCAAATACAGAAAGAAGGCAATGGTGCTCTAAGAAAATACCTTGTTGATACCATGTTTTACCTAAGTATAACAGCTAACCCAACAGTAAATTACAAATGTGTGCGGGCGAGTCAATTTAAAATTTCTAAGTGCCCTATTCTAATTTGGCAGCTTTTTGACATTTTAAAGCAGAATGGCCAAGTTGTATTTCTCCAAGTAAACTTAGATGAGGTAATAATATTGCTCAAGTCAAATAATGCTATCCTAAATTCAAGTTTACATAGTACTTAATGTACATACGTGAATTTCAAGCATGAAAATAAAATAAAATTGCTTCTTCCCCCCCCAAAAAAGGAGGGCACTTGTGATGAGCACGGGGTGTTGTATGTAAGTGATGAATCACTGAGTTCTACTCCTGAAACCAACATTGCACTGTTAACTAACTAGAATTTAAATAAAAATTGGGTGGGGGGAGAAAGTACATGCATCAAGAAGTGAAGTAAAATCAGTAGAGTTTTTTGTGCAGGGTTCCTCCTATTCTGGTGAAAATGAACTACATATGCAGGCACGAGCTCCAGTGATTCCACACAGGAGTTAAATACTCACATCTGCGTTCAAAACTAGTATGGCAGGATATAAAGCTGAATGGTAAATTCATGCTAGCAAATTAATATTTCCATTTTTCTTTCCTAAGAACAACTTTGAATAGCAAATTAAGAACTCCATGAAAAATTGAGGGAGACCAATGAAGAAAGGAAAAACTTTCTACTTCAGCACTTTTTTTTTTATTTTTATTTTTTTTAAATGTTTTCCTTTTTTTAAAAGATTTTATTTATTTATTTGCGAGAGAGAGAGAGTGAGAGACAGAGCCCAAGAGGGGGTAGAGTCAGAGGGAGAAGCAGACTCCCTGCTGAGCAGGGAGCCCGACGTGGGACTTGATCCCAGGACTCCAGGATCATGACCTGAGCCGAAGGCAGTCGCTTAACCAACTGAGCCACCCAGGCACCCAGCACTTTTTTTTTTTTTTAAGATTTTATTTATTTGATAGAGACACACAACGAGAACAGGAACACAAGCAGGGGGAGTGGGAGAGGCAGAAGCAGGTTTCCTGCTGAGCTGGGAGCCCGATGCGGGGCTCGATGTGGGGCTCAATCCCAGGACCCTGGGATCATGACCTGAGCTGAAGGCAGACGCTTAACAACTGAGCCACCTAGGCGCCCCTCTACTTCAGCACTTTTAACAGCACTATTTTCTTACCTTTTGAACAAAGGGATCTGCATTTTCATTTTGCACTGGGCCCTGCAGTTATGTTGCGGGTTCTGGGGATGGGAAAGGGAAAAGGGGCAGTATGGGGTGCTAAGTACTAAGTCCCAGCAAACACTGGACTGGAGTCTGATGCACAGACTACAGAGTAGCCCACACTTGTGGAAGGAGGGGATGGAAGCTGGATGAGGCAGAGGGAGAGGCCAAGTTGTGATGCAGGACTGACAAATCCTCCCCAATCCTGGAGGCTCTGTGCATCTTCCTCGATCCAACCCGGTATGTGGGTGTCCCTGGAAAGGCGTGCTCTTGGGAGAGGTGGCCCTCCCGTGGGTGAGGGGGAGCCCGTGGGGACTGACAGCTGCAGGTGGTCTGCTGATGGACACGCTGCTGCTGAGGCTGTCTGAGAGGCGCACCTCTGTGTTCACCACAGCCCTGTTCTCGTTCCCTGCCCTGAGTGCTGAAGGTGATATCTGTCACGGGGTATAAAAAGAAGCCCTTCTGCATCCACTGATTTAAAAAGCCAGACAACATGCTGCAGTGGATCTGATGCTAGATGAATCATTATATCAGAGTTTGGAGCACTGCAACACAGTCATGGGCAATGATATGGGGAATAGTGACATAAACTACTGGGCTGATTACTTGCATTTCAATTTAATTAAAATATTGCAGAGCTTTTTTAAAAGCATGAATTAACTGCAACAGCCTTAATCTAGGTTTAATTCAGTGCAACAGCAACAAAAAACTCTGTGATGTTTCTTAAAATCTTTTTTGTAAAAGATGTATTTATTTATCTGAGAGAGAGAGGGCATCTGAGGGGGTGGGGTGGAAGGAGAGAATCTCAAGCAGACTCCCCACTGAGCATGGAGCCCTATGTGGGGCTCATTTTCATGACCCTGAGATCATGACCTGAGCCAAAATCAAGAGTCAGATACTTAACTGACAGCCACCCAGGCTCCCTCCCCATGTTTCTTAACATCTTAAAGATTGCTTGACCAGCACTAGAAAGTCTATTATTTTCTCCTAACCATGAGGACTTCAATTAAAGAGAATAATAACTTCTTGGATATAGCCTCATTTTTTAAAAAAGATTTTATTTATTTATCTAGAGAGAGAGAGAGAGAGCGAGAGAGCGTGTGCGTGAGGGGGGGCAGGAGGGATAGGCAGAGGGAAAGAGAGAGAAACCCAAGCAGACTCTGCTGAGTGTAGAGCCCAATGCAGGGCTCGATCCCACACCCTGAGATCATGATCTGAGCCAAAATCAAGAGTTGGAAGCTCAACTGACTGAGCCACTCAGGTGCCTCTTGGATATAGCCTCATTATCCAAATTGTTAAGTCATCCTTAGCCCAGGCATCTCAGTGCAAGTACTGTTGACATTTTAGTCATTGTCCTGTGCATCATATAGTGTTTAGGGGCATCCCTGGCCTCTACCCCAAATGTCTCCAAACATTGACAAATGTCCGTTGGAAACCAAAAGCAGCCTGGCTGAGAATCTACTCTATGGTCAAGTTTTACTTATTCTACTTTATACATATCTCTCAAATGCCTCCACATCTCTGCATTCCCCTTATCATTCATAATTCATGCCAATACCTCTCTCCTGGACTGCAGCCCAAACTCTCCCAACTATTCTCCCTGAACCCACATGGCTGCCTCAGGTACATTTTACACTCAATGGTCAGAGTTACTGGAACACGAAATATATTCTGATGCTTCAAACTTTTTAACACGACTTCTGAGATCCTGCATGAGCTGGCCCTTCTTAGTGTCTCCCCCGGCCCCCCACCACTATGCATTACTCACTTCAGTCAGATTGAATGCTTTCCATGACTCTCAACACACCACCCGTACCCTTTCACACCTCTGAGCATCAAAATTTGTCTTCTTTTCTAGGATGCTCTCTCAGCCTCCCTCATTCTTTTAGTCTCAAGATAACAGTCAACTCCTCCAGGAAGGCTTCCCTGACTACCTGAGTCTGGGTTTGATGCCTCTTTTAAATGTTTACACGACATGCGGGGCACTTACCACATGACAGGCATATAGCAGTTCCCTTTGCATGTGTTTGCATTCTCCACTAGACTGCTGCTCTGTGACAGCAAAGGCCATGTCTGTCTTGTCTTGCACTTAATCCCAAATATCCAGTACACCCCCTTTCATGTACTGGGCACTCATTAAATATTGTTCAAGGTTCGAGCTATCGAAGGAAGG